AACTCAGACAATAGGCAGGTCCTTTCTCCCATTAGAAGAGGGGCTTCCCCTTATCAGCTGCTTGCTGATTGTATAAACAAAGGCACTGCAATCACTGGGCAGTTCCTTTTCTCCCATCACGAAAAAGGAATTCACCTGACCTCAGTTTCTTCATTCTGACTGTTGCCTTCATTTTTCATTCCCCACCACCCTCTCCCTGGGAACTTCAAGAGCTGCACTGGACACAGCACATATTGATGTTCAGGAATCTGCCCTTGGCAACCTTGAAGATGAGGCTCATCTTGGTGCCCAAGCTGACATGCTCAATGAAGCATTCCCCAGCATGAGTACTGATGCTAATGAGGTAACCCAAAATCATGTCCAGGAGAGCAGCCAGGAGCACTAGCAACTCAGCAAGTATTACCAATTTGGGGCTGGGGCCAAAGCCAGGACCCAGATTCCAGCCTCCAGAGTTGCTACCCTACCTCTTTAAACAATACCACCTCTAAAGGTTTGTTGTACCTAAATTACCACTTTTTTTTTAGACAGGGCATTGCTATGCAGTTCAGGTTGGCCTTGAACCTACTATAGAGATCAGGCTGGCCTTGAACTCATAATTATCCCCCTGCCTCAGCCTCCTGAGTTCCAGAATTACAGGTATAAACTACTGTTATAGAAAACAGACAAATATGTGAAGAAACAGCACCAAGCAAGCTTAAAGGGAAGTTTATTATACCAGTAGGCTTCTGACTAGGACCTCTTCCTAAGAGCTGAAGCTCCAAAACCTCACCAGCAGGGTTTCAGGGCTTTTAAAGGGAAAGTGAGTAGGGAGGTACACAGGCAGATTTCTTGCATGTGTTTAGAGGGTTGGGTGACATCATGGGTTGCTGAAGGAGTCTGAACATCTCTACATTGTAAGGGTATCCCTTATACAAAGCATGGGTTATACAGAGGAAAAAAAGGTCCTGTTACATTTTAAGTTACAATGCAAGGCCATCAGTTATACAAAGGCAGTAGGGACAGGGGTTACACAAAAGGAAAAAATGTTCTATTATTTGGCCTGCTTGGTGTTGGTAGGCTTCCTGGGTGGGCTTTTATTTAAAATTTTAATTTCCCCCTCCACTATTATACCTGGCCAGAGTAGAAGCTTCTAAGTCTTTGGATCTGCCTGTCCTTTCCTCTGTTAGGTCAGCAATGCCCAGTTAGAAAGAGCCCTGGGGTGAGGGCAATATGGAGTCAGGCAGCAGCTCAGCTAGGCCACAAGGGACATGTGTCTCAATGCTACAAACCTCTGAGATATGTACAAACATTTTTTACTGCATCATAACTCATTATAACTGAAGCTAATAAAAAAAAAATACACTGGAATTATTGCCCTTTTACTAGTTAAAATTCCTTTCATGGTTTCCATACACAACAAAAGAACTAAAATAAATGAAACCGGTGTATCAAGTACTGGCAAGGACACAGAGCCATGGGCACATTCATTTATTGCTAGTGGGACAACAAAACAGAGTGGGTGCTTTGAAAAGGAACATAGGTAACATGGTACAAAATTAAACATAGGCAGATGCTACAGCCCAACATCAGACTCCTTGGTGTTTACCGAAGAAAAAGAAAAACTTACAATATAACAATATTGAACTGTATCACAGACATGTGCACATGGAGAAAGCTCCAGCCCTCTTGTATTGAAATAGCTGACCATACAAGGGACAACCCCATCTACGGGGGATTTTGTTTTGTTTTGTTTCATTTTACTGGTAGTAAAAACTGGTTTTTGTGTTTGTGTATGGTACTGGAGATTGAATTCAGGGCCTTTACACTGAACTACATTCCACCAATATTTTTTATTTTGAAAAAAGTCATCCCCAATTGCTAAAGTGCTCAAAATGGGCTTGGACTTACAACTCTTCTGCTGCAGTGTCCCAAAATCCCAGAGAGCACCACCAAGCCTGGCTCATCTCTTTGTCTTACTATCAAGGATAGATAAATTTTCCTCGAAAGTCTTTCTGCAACTCTCCTCTCTTCTTTGCTATAAAGAAGAAAATATTTTAAATATTTCTATTTGAATATAAGTCATATAAGTTTCACTAAGTCATTAAGTTTCTGAGATGGGACTTGAACTTGATTCTTTTGCCTTAGCTAGAACCAACTTCCTTATGCATTTATTCCAAGATGAGACTGAGATAGAGAGAGGCTCTGTTCCCCCTTACCTCATCTTTTCTCATCTCTCCTATAAGACTCACAGATCACTCCTTCACTTACCTGCACTACAAAACTCTAGCCTCACTGCCTTCCCTTTGGGATGTCAAGCAGAGTGAACCAGAGGAAAGTTTGGATTAGCAGAAAGTAGGAATATGATGACCAGTTATCACTGTCCCCATCACCCCTGTCTGAACTTCCAAGCATTCTGGTGATCTGAACTTGTTCTCATGCTAAAAGGGAACTTTTCCCAGCCAACCAAAGGGTGGAGGTCATAGAGGTAATAAACATCTCTGCCTTAGCGTCTATATTTCTTGTCGCTAATGGCTTTTATTTTTTGTTTGTTTTGGCTGGCTCAGGCAGCCTTAAGGGCAGATCTGGTAAGGCATGTGGAGCCAGGGATTGAACTGCAGTTCCCTGTGACTGACTGGGTTTGCCCTAACAGGTGCTTAAACAACTAAACCAGAAGCCCCTGGGTTTTTAGTTTTGTTGTTTGCTTGTTTGTTTGTTGCAGAACCAGGGATTGAACTCTGGTCCTTGCACTTACCAGGCAAGCAGTTATTCTACTGAGCTATCTCCCCGGCCCCTGTGGCTTCTAATTAGTAAGATTTGACTGAATAGTTCTGGAATTCAGGGCTGTATGAATGCCCAAATTATACCAAGCTGCACGGTTCATGTCTATTAACAAAGTAGACCAAGAGCAAGAGATTTTTCTTTCTTTCCACTCTCAAATTTTAAAAATAAAATACATAAATAAAAGGTTTGGAAATACAGCTCAGTGAAAAGGCCCTGGGTTCAATTCTCCAATCCATAAAATGGAATAACCAAGCAACTGAGAAGGAGAAATTATGAAGCAGTTCATAAGAATTTTCCCTGAGGCAGGCTGGGGAGGTAAGATAGCAAAAGTACAGGATAAGGAGTTTAAATACTGAGGGAACTTGGACATGGGGCGCCAGGGGCTGAATGGATTCAGCAAGACACTTACACAGGGTGGGTCCTCTAAGAACCAAGAACACAGCCCATAGTCAGACCTTATCAGGCAGAGGGGTCAGAAGAGCCTGACCAAAGTCAGATGGAGTTGTGTTCCCCTGTAATAGGCTATACACACACACACACACACAATCTCTGAAGGACACGAGTTCGTTGGATCCTCTCATGTCAGAGTCACACTACCCTGCAGCCAGGATCTCTGGAATAGAGAACCAACATCACCCAATCCCAGCTTGTTTAGTGAAGATCACCAGCCTCCACTTTGCTGTAGACTGCATCCAAGTACACAGTTGCTTTGGTATTTCTCTAAATGCTTTCCTAGGCTGTACTCTTCCCACCTGCTGCCTCCACTACCCACCTATTGCCTCACTGTCCCTGGTTCTCAGTATCAGTGCTGGCACCCACCATCCTCTGGGATACACCTTCATCAGCCAGAACCAGGTCAACACCTATCTTCTGTTGTTCCAAAGTGCACGTCACACAGGAAGCAGCTAAGACTGTACCTGTGAGAGGACATACCTAGAAGAAAGTGACCACCAGAAGCCTCTTCCTCTCCAATTAGTCTCACTGAGTCAAAACCTCAGAATTTTAGCACTATGGAGACACCAGGTCACAACAGTCACAAAATTTATACGTTGCCCATCCCAGTCTCCCAATTGTCACTAAATTTTGACACTATAGTATTAGGATGCTTTGTCTACAGAGCTACAGCAGTGTAAGTAATGCTAAGAAAACCCACAGTGATATTTAAGCCCTTGAAACCAGCTAAGCCCCAACACAAAGTTTTGTCCATCCTTTGGATCAACAGGAGAAATACTTAAGGGGAAGTTCTAGAGACAAGACCATTGAAAAAAACACTAGAATATCAAGGAGAGGTTGGTGAGACAACCTGAGACAAGAAGATTTAGTAAATATGGGAGACAGAATTGAATATGAGGCCAAGTTTGCAGAGGAACCAGAGAACAAACCCGTACAGGACTCTTTCAAGATGCTGCTGCCCTCTTCCGATCTCCTCCTCTGGCTTCCCTATCTAGGGACAGTCACATGTTGAAGCAACTGAGGTTTGTCCGTACAGAGGAATGGACCTGACACTGTGAGAAAGTTCTTGGGACATTGCTTCCTCCCTTTAGTCACCACTCCCAGGGACAGTCCATGCGCCAAATACTAAAAGGCACTGATCATGCTGACACAGTCCCAAGGTCAATCTGTCTGGAGATGGAAGCTCAGAGCATATCTAAGGGTTAGATTCCTTACCCACTCTTGGACAATCTGAAAGACTGTGTCTGCAGAAATAGACATCTCTATATATCAGTGTGCATTTCAAGGTGCATATAAATGGCCTTTACAAAGACCATCCTCATGCCTCCTCTTCATGGCTCATCTGACGGTTCTGTCATAGAAAAACAAGCAGAGATGCCTTTGTTTTTTAATTTTTTGTAATGTTGAGCATTGAACCCACAGCCATTGTACTGAACTATATTCTCAGACCTTTTAAAAATTTTAGGCAGGGTCTCCTAAGTTGCCAAATTGTCCAAGCAGGGCTTGGACTTATAATATTCCTGCCTCAGCCTCCCAAGTAGATGTGTTTATAAGCATATACCCTATGCCATGCATTTGACTTGTTTGGTTTCTAATTCATGTAATGCATAGCCTTAATTAATTCATGATGGCCTTCACTCTGATTCTCCTGCCATAGAATCCAGGAAATAGAACTTTGGGGTGGGGAAGCAGTCAAAATCCCCAGAGTGCCGGGGAGATGGCTCAGTGAAATAAGCGCTTCCCTGGCAAGCGCAAGGGCCTGAGTTCAATCCCGGTTCCACAAAAAAAATAATAATAATAATCCAAAATCCCCAGTGCATCCACTCACAGAGCTTGGAGGCTGCATCAATTCTCCTGGCTTTGTAGCCCTTAGAAGGGCCATTCTAGAACTGTTCTAGGCTTCTCTGAAAACTCTGGTTCCAATCCTCTACCTTTTCCACAATGACAAAACCTTAAGAGTTCAAGTCCCAAAGAAGGAAATGATTCTATTGCCCTTGGCTGTCTGACCACAGGGACACTTCTGCCTTGACGCTTATGAGGCCCTCAAGCCCTGACCTAGCTCCTACTGGTAGAGAAGAGTCAAAGAATCCCAAAATTTACCTCTTCAGGCTTCACACTTTTACCCACTCTCAACTTATACCAACAATGTAGGATTCGTAATAGAGGAAAAAAATATACACAATTTTAGTCCCCTAATGACTGCTTTATTCCTCTATCACCTATTTCTAATCTATACCCCTATGTGCACTTATCTTTATCTCCTATCTTATGCCTTTTGCTATATATTAACCTTTTTAAACATGGTAACAAAACCTTTGCAATTATGAGTCACAGTGATTGAACAGAATAAACTGGAAGTCCTCAATGAAGAACAAAAGTGAGGCTAGAGAAGTGCTCAACATAATAAATTAGAAGTCCTCAATGAAGAACAAAAGTGGAGTTAGCAAAGTGACAAGGTAAACATAATAACTCATTATTTCATAGTTTCAACAAATAAAACAACATATCATGTTTCTTAAAAGTACCCCTTTCAATCCTAGAGGCAGGTTTTAGTTTTAGGAAAAATGATGTCACTCTTCCTTCAGAAACAACTGTTATGTCCAGTTTCCCCTTTCTCCATGAGTCCCAGGAGGACAGTATGTAACTCAGAAACACCTCCACAAAGCAAACTCCAGCTCTTATTCGATAGTTGCTGTACTTTTTTTCTCCTGTATGAGTTCTGTGATGCAAAATCAGAGATGAATTGTGGTTAAAGGTTTTCTGTATCTTTACTGATACAGGAAAAAATTAGTTAAAAGCCCTTCCAAAAACTTTCTTTTTCTTGACTATACTCACAAGGTCTGATCCTAGTAAGAATTTGCTTCTGGAAAGTAGGTGGACACTCCTATGGAACACTTACTCACTACATGCATGAGTTCTTTCTAGCATGCTGAAGTAAAAGGTGCATACACCTCTTGGCAGAAGCACCTTCTCTACATTCTCATGTTTTATTCTTGAGTATGTATTATCATGTTTGGAACTGCTTTAATGATTCTTGAAGCTTTCTTCACATTTATCATCATCTAATGTTTTTTCCAAGAGTTCCTGAATAATGGGCTTAACTGGCCACAGAATGTCTCACAATGACCAATTCTCCAGGGTAGCTTAAAAGACCAGGAAGTCACATCTGAAGCCACACTACCTTTGTGCAGGTTTTTGTGTCAACTGGGAGAACAGTGTGATCATCAACATTCAGGTTTCCACAGGCTGCTCTTCAGGGTGTGTTCTCTGATGTCGGACAAGGGATGAGGTCCTCCTGAATGACTTCCCACACTGAGGACACTGGTAGAGGCCTTCCTTGTTATGCAGTCTCTGATGTACTGCCAGATGAGAGTTCTGCTTAAAGGATTTCCCACATTGCAGACACTGGTATGGAGATTCCTTGGTGTGAATTCTCTGGTGCTTGGTCAGACAGGAGCTGTCCCGGAAAGATTTGCCACACTGATTACATTCATAGGGCTTCTCACCAGTATGAGTCCTCTGGTGCCGGATGAGGCCAGCAATGTTTCTGAAAAGCTTCTGACACTGATTACAGCCATAAGGCTTCTCACCAGTATGAATCCTCTGATGTCTAATGAGATATGCACTCTCAATGAATGTCTTCCCACACTCATTACACTCATAGGGTTTCTCCCCAGAATGGATTTTTTGATGCACAATGAGGTGGGAATTACGGTTGAAGGATTTCCCACACTCAATACACTCAAAAGGCTTCTCTCCAGTATGAGTTCTCTCATGCTGTGTAAGGTATGAGCCATCTCGGAAAGCCTTTCCACATTTGCTGCACTCATAGGGCTTTTCACCTGTGTGGATTCTGAGATGCACAGTAAGGTGAGAGATATCAGTGAAGGGTTTCCCACACTCATTGCATCTATACGGTTTTTCTCCTGTGTGAGTTCTTTGATGTAAAATCAAAGATGAATTGCGGTTAAAGGTTTTTCCACATTCTAGACATTCATAAGGCTTCTCACCTGTGTGAATCCTTTGGTGTTGAGTCAGAGCCGACCCATCACTAAAAGCTTTCCCACATTTATTGCATTTATACGGCTTCTCACCTGTATGTATCCTTTGATGCACAATAAGGTTGTAGTTCTTGGAGAAGGATTTTCCACACTCATTACAGGTATAAGGTTTCTCTCCAGTGTGAGTTCGGTGATGCAGAACTAGAGAAGAGTTGCGTTTGAAGCATTTGCCACATTCAGAACATTTGTATGGCTTCTCAATGAGGTGACTCCTCCTGTTTTCACTTAGAGATGAGCTCAAAAGAAAGATATGTCCAAAGTCATTGTTTTCACACAGTCTCTTTCCTCTTTTCATTATTTTTTGATCACCCCTGTGGGTAAAATGATGCATGGATTTAACATTTTCAGGGTATTTACAAGGCTTGTCTTTCACTTGATTTCTTCCAAACTGAGTAACTTCTAAGGAGTGGTGGAAGGGTTTATCACAGGCATCACTGTCACCAATTCTCTTGCCTGCATACTTTTTGGAACAACTGTGTAAGGCTTGGTCACAGTCCACCATTTTGGCATCTGCATTATGGAAACCATTTTTTGTAGAAACTCTCTGCGATGGTGGAAGGCCCAAGCTTGCACTCAAATGCTCCCCAAAGCCAAGATATTCAGAGACTGCTTCCTGAACTTCTGGTTTCTCCTGGGGTAAAGCAGATTGCCTCAGATGTTTCTTGTGGTTCTCAGAGTCCCAGTTGTCACCCAGGACCAGCAAAGAGGGATCATCTCTCACAAATCCTTCCATTTCCATGTCACAAGACAGTGTTTCCATGGGAACCTTCTGAGCCACCATTGTCAATCTCATGTCCAAAGCTGAGAAGGACAGAGAAAAAAGGCAGAGTAAGCTTTACAAATCTGTATCTTAGAGAGGAATGGAAAAGATGATGGGCTATATGTGTCACTGTGTTTTGTTTCCTTTTTAAAATTCATACAAGTGAAAAGGAAAGACAAAAATGAAAGCAGAGAAATAAAGCAAAAACCAGGTTCCAAGAAAGGCACAGGATTTCATCCTCTGAGATCAGTCAGGATCAGCACTAGGAATAAATATCATCAAAAGGATTAGCTTGAGATGTGGGAAACTAAGACTAGGTACCATTACTCACATTGGTCACCATCCTGGCCCCTGCATGTATGTTCATAGCACCAGTGACCATACTAACAATCTGTACATATTCCAAACACAATACATATTCCCAACATATTTCTAATAATCTATACAGATTCTGTGTGAAAGAGCACACAGTGAGAAGGTCTTGCCTATCTCTGTGATCAGAGATCTGCCTTCTCACAGCACAAGCTGGCTACTTGAAAGTTCAGGATCTAAGTACTGGATCTATTAGTGATTCCTCTACTGTGTTATAAGGAAAACTGTTAACTCTTATAATTGGTTCTCTTATCTAAAATAACTGGGCTTGGAGGAACTGCTGGACAAGACTCCCCTAAGTGGGTAAACAAAAGGTTTCTGTCTACTGATAGGACTTGGGCAGTTTTCCCAGAGTCTTAGGGGAACAAAAAACATTGTTATTGGAACATATTTATGTTGGCTATAAAAGGTTAAGAGTACACTGTATATAAAACAATTAAGTTTCCTTAAGATATTAAGATGCTTTGGGCTAAACTTACAAAATTAAAGAACAAAAGTTCTTTTTCACTTATTACTACGTTTCCAGTACATACATTTTACAATCATCTTGGGGAGTGGATACATGTACAAAATACAATTTTCTTTCTTTTTTTTTTCCTAATTCTCTGCCTCTTCCTCCCTCTGCCTTTAATTCTCCCTTCTCTATTTTCATTCTTGTTGATATTATTAATCTTAGCTCATGTATATGGCATATGAGTGTTACATTCATTGAGGTTATTAGGTCCCTGCACAAAGCATACCTTTACTCTGCTTATTTCCCCTTTTGCTCCCTGTCACTATTCAAGGTTTCTATATTGGGCTTACTTTCTCCTGTTCTCCACTGTTAAATTCTTGGTTACACTAATTATTGCTAACCTCATAGTATACTAAACATATTTGCATTTGCCAAATGTCAAGGCCTTGAAACATGCAAAGCTGGGAAAAAAAAACATTGTGGTGGGTGACTTTCTAAATAAAAATATTTGTGATAGAATTTTTATAACTGCTTTATAATTACGTTAAAACAGTATATGACTTATGGTTGCTAAGTGACATTTCCAGACTTTTAAAACTTTCTGTAAGTTCCTTATATAGGTCACAGGTCCCAAATATAAAAATCTTTAGGATAAATTTCTCCATAAAGGTCCAGCTGTTATATACAACTTTTTCCTGCCTTCCTCAACTTCTAATAAAGATTAACAGCTATCTACTAGCAACAAGGATGCTTGTTCTGGATATAAACAACAGATTTCTATATGACTGACAAAGATATATAGTCCTGACCAAAAAATAAAAGTGAGGCAGGCTGCAGCCTTGGTCTTGGCTACACATGCAATGAGACCTCTAAGTACATCAGGCACTTCACACAGAACCTAAACAAGGGATCTAAAAGGATCAAAGGATCCTTTTTTTTTTTTTCTTGTCTTTTTCCCTTCATCTTTCTCAAAAAATATATGAGTGATATAGGGCTGTCCCCTTATAAATTGCTATATAGTCTTGCATATTTGCACAGAGCTACAAATCTCCATGCTTTGAAGACCAAAAATCCATTTCTAAGAAAGTATGAATTAAGGGGAGATAGCCCAGTGGCATAAGTGATCACCTGGCAAGCACAAGGTCCTGAATTAGATCCCTGATTTAAAAAAAAAAAAAAAAAAAAACAGAAAGTATAAATTGAGCATATCCTCCACTTTATCTTCTTGCAAGCTGAGAGATCTAACCCATACCCCACCTGTGGAATTCATGGTTTATAAGTTGCAACTCAGTGACCTGGAGTTGATAAAGACCTCAAAAGAGGATTAGTTCCACCTGAACTGAGAAAGGCCTAATCAAGTGCCCCTGAAATGAGAACACAATACAAACAACAGAAAAAGGTAGACTCAATATACTTGGGCTAAAGGGCTAATAGGAGAAACTTGGAAATGGGGTAAAACAAAGTTAGTGGGATATGTATGAATCACCTGAAGACACTAAGAAAATTAAAAAGGAACTAAAAGGTTCAATAATGAAGGGTATATTCCTTTTATGTCTGGTTTGGCTGAGCAGTTTAATACCATATAGGCAGAAAAAAGATTAGAAGTTAATGATAAAAAGAATCAAAACCCTAGAAAATAAGGTAATTATTATCCAGTTAGGATAGTAATAAACATAACTAGAACCTCAGAACTTCAAATCATTAAATTTGATTCCTGTCAGACTCTGTCCTGTGAGAATTTGAAATGCCAGATACAACTGTCACTGACATAAATACCTCTGCCCAGCACTAGAGATGGACAAGTGCTATATCCCCTTCCCTCACTTGAAATGATATGTGGTGGGCCACTCAAAACCAAGGACAAGATGGCTGATATAAAATGATTAGGAATAAAATGGTTTTAAAAAGTGAAGCTCTTATAAAGGTTCTGTCCCTCCAACTCTCAGAAATTACAATATAATGCAATATTACCTGTTATTAATAATCCAGCTTCACTGGATCAGAACTCTGAGGTAGCACACAATCTGTGACCTAAGGACAGATGTTTCTGGGGAGGACCCAATAGGATACCTAACCCTTCAAGTTATGACCAACTTGACTAAAGAGATTACCATTTCAAGTGCAGAAGAGTTTTCTCAAAATGACCCTCAAAGAATAAAAATACTAGAAGTTAAAGACTAGCTCTAGACATAAACACTAGATATCAAGATATAGATGCTTGAGTCAAATGAATAAAATTTTCAGTGCATGACCTTAATAAGAGCAACTGTTATACATGTGTTGCCAGTTGTCCAAAGGCATAGGTTATTCACTTTCACCTCAGTAGAGATATGGACCACTAAGGATTATGATGCATGTATGCTTTGTACCAGGACAAACGTACATGAGAAAATGAGACCTTTAAGAACTTGCCTTTGGTCTTCTCCATATTGCAAAGGTCTGACCTGAGAGTAGGACCCTTCTCTATAGGAAATGTGAATCACTTACCTTGCCTTTCTAGGCAAGGGGCAGAGTTTCATAAACCCATAGGAGAGCTCAAAACCTACACCAATATCTTGCACATCACTGAAGGACCAGGTAGTCACAATTACTCTGCTTTCCATGTACAGCAGACTAATATCTGGTGATTTTATGGAAAATGGAACTTTCTTCGTAGACTTCCATCTACTTAAGACAGGAACTTGTACTTTAGTTTAACTGGCTAACCCATTCAACTTAGCATTCCAAAAGCAGCCCAAAAAGGATTTCAGTCACAGGAGTCATAGGTCAATACCTGGTTCCTTTGATTCAAATGTCTACATTGATTCAACTGGAATCCTTCAAAGAGTTCCCAATGCACCAGAACCAAATAGCTGCAGGGTTTGAGTCAGCACTCTTCTGTTGACCCACAATTAAAAATGTAGTTCGGATTAAGTATATATTATAATTAACAAGGATTCATAACTAAAGATGTCCTATAAAAAACAGCTAGATGCTACCAGTCAAACAGGCTGTGAAAACAGAATTCTGCAGATATGACACCAAGAAAAAAGAACTATGTCATGATGGGTGGGAAATGTTGTACCTTCTTTCCCAATAATACAGCTCCTGATAGAAATATTACAAAAACTTTAGAAAGATCAATGACCCTGGTCAATTAACAGGTGAAGAATGGTGGGATTGATTACTATTTTAAAATGGGTACACTCAAAAAGGTTAACAGATGTCCTAGATCATAAGCACTACCGTAGGAATTTGTACCTGTTTAATTTATAGGAGTTCAGATGCCCAGCAATATCAATTTCCTAAGGAATAACTATTGAAACAAAAAAAAATCAATTTTCTCCTAAAACAATATTATTTAAAATTATAAACATTTTTCAGTCACAGTCCTGTAATCCAACTATGAGAGGCTGAGTCAAGAGGATCTCAAATTTGAGAGTAGCCTGCACAACTCAATAGATGTAGTGAAACTTCATCCAAGCCCCAGTACCACCACAATAAATAAATCAATAAGTCAGAAAGGAAAAAAGAAAGTAAAGAAATGAAAAAGAAAAGCTAAGAAAAATTATACTTAAGATCTCAAAAGATAACTTTATGTGGGGAGTTATACTGTGCAAGGATAACAAAACACAATATTGAAACCATAACAACTATCACCAGATAAAACTATAAAAGTAACACCTTCCTACTCAACCTAGCAAAAGAAAGGAAATCTCTGGAAGAATTTTACTAAAGCATAACAAACAGCTCCTGTAAATCATATATAAGAGAACAGCTCCTGAAACATCTAAGACTAACCCTTAGCAAATGGAAGGAAGGAAGGAGAATCCAGAATTCCTCTACCTGAGTAAGCTTCAGTAACTACTCAACCTAGCAGAGGAAGGCGAATTGAGAGGTGCAAACATACTTGGTAGGTAGGTAGTAAAGTTGGCCTCATAACTCAGTAGGAGTGGGTATTCCTTTTAATGCCTTTTCATATTTAAAAACTATAAATCCTAATTTATACACAATCCTAAGTGTAATTATACATTCAAGATAGACAAAACATCAATATATGACAATGCAGACACATATGCACACATAAAAAGTTAAAAATGATTAGAATACAGAACACCTTTGAGTTATCACATTAAAGTGTCTTAACACATAAAAGGCACAAAACACACATTTAAAACATCTGATATATCAATATGAACAACACATCACAAATATGAGATTAAAAGAAAAAGAAAAAAGACAAGAAATTATTGTCAACCACCATTAGGATGATTTACTAATTACAAAAGGAGAAATGTGAGAACTGGAAAACAGCACTAACTGCATGACCACTGTGTTCACCACCAACTTTATGTGACTCCTGATACAATTCACCATTTTGAAGGACATGCTTGCAATTGTACACCCTCCTGTGGAAGTTGCAGAACCTGAATTATTTATGCAACAATCAACTAAACACTGAGGGACAATATACTAAAGAACCTATCCATAGCTTTCATTGTTTGATTTTGTGGTAATGGGGATTAAACTTGGGGTTTTGCCCATGCCTTGAAATTGTGCTGCCATCATACTGCCTCCCTAGCACTTTTAGAATTTTGAGATAGGATCTCACAAGGTGTGCCAGGCTGAGCTCAAGCTTACAGTACTCCAGCCCCAGCCTCCTGAGTAGATGGGACTGCAGCATGAGCCACTCTGCCCAGTAGATAAATAATCCTTTTAAAAACATCAGTATCACTGGGTATGGTGGCTCACACCTATAATTTCAGCTCTTGGGAGGCTAAGACAGGAGGATTGCTGTGAGTTTGAGGCCGGGCTGGGCTACACAGTAAAAAACTGTCTCATACAAACAAAACAAAAAACTAAATTAAAATTTAAAAAAAAAAAACAAAAAAACAGCGTCATCGGGAACAAACAGCTCAGACCGCCCCCTCCTGTCCCTCTCTCAAACAGGGGCTTTCTTTCCCTCAATAAATACGCTCTGCTAAAAAAAAAAAAAAAACACTGTCACACATCAGGTTCTATGTGCCATGCCAGCCCCGCCCCTGGGGCACATGGAGAAGGTGACTGAGACTGGGCGTGGTGGGGTTTATCTGTAATCCCAGCACTTGGGAGGCTCAAAACAGAAGGATCATTATGAGTCTGAGCTATGCAGTGAGACCCTGTAGACCCTATACTAAATACACACCAAAAAAAGTCATAGAAGAAAAAGCAAGAACACTCAGATTAAACCTTGATGAAAGAAGGAAAGAAAGAGAAAGAAAGAAAGCAAGCAAGCAAGCTAGCTAGCTTGTTGAAGCTGGCGCAGGTGACACATGCCTATAATTCCAGCATTCTGGGAGGCCAAGACAGGAGAAATGGAACCATTCTGCTAAGTTAGAGACTTGAAAATCTTGTCTCAAAAATAAGAAAGGCTAAGAACGTGTGATGGCCCAAGGTTTCCCATTAGTACAAAAATAAACAAACAAACAAACAAACCTGGGACTTAAAAAGACCTAACATTCAATCCCCAGTACCACATGCCAACCCAGCCCCGGAACCCTGGGAATGGTGGTGCATGCCTACAATCCAAGTGCTGGGGGGGCTGAGACAGGAGGATTACTATGAGTCTGAAGTGCACAGCGAGACCCTGTATCACACAGGAAAAAAAGACCTAATTACAAGATGCAATACATGATCCTGGATTAAACTGAATATATACTATATGATTTTGTTTGGTTGGGTTTTTTTGTTGTTGTTTGTTTTAGTGTATTTGGACAGGGTCCTCAGGGTCTTACTACACAGAGTCTACAGGGTCTTACTACACAGACTGGAATCGTAGTGATTCTCCTGTTTGCACACCACCACACCCAGTCTCAGTAGCTGTCTCAGTGCACCACTGGGGTGGGGCCCAGCACAGTTTATGGTGCTGAGGATCAAATCCTGGCCCCTGCACTCTGCCTAAGCAGCAGGTTTTAATCTTCTGAACTATCTGGCCTGTCCTTGTTTTGTTTCTTGAAACAGGGTCTCACCCTCTATTCCAGGTTGGCCATGAACTCCAAGTGATCCTCTGGCCTCAGCTTCCTGAATGCTTGGATTATAGGCATGTGCCGCCACACCCAGCTATAATATATATTAGATAAGAATTCATTATCAATAATAAATAAAAGTACTTAATAAAATAACAGCACTGTAGTTTGCCTTCTTAGGATACTCAGGCAAAAGCATTTCAAAATTGGTGGGGGGGAGAAAGCATTTCAAAATAAACTGTCATGAAGTCTGTAATACACTTCCAGTAATTCAATCAAAAAATAAGTGTATGTAAATATATGCCTGTTTCACACCAGACTGCATCATGCACTGTATGTATAAAACATAAAGTGTACAGCTTTAAAAAATGAAAAAACGGTAAAAGTGATGTAGCAAAAATGTTAGCAGTGATTCTGGATGCTTTCACAAGCATTCATTAGAACAATTCTTACAATTTTCCTGGAGAAATGCAACTTTTCAAAATAAAAAACTGGGTGGAAAGGGAGAAACAAGCACTAACATAAAGTTGGTGTTGGGGGAAAAAAGACGTAGGGAGGTCAGCATTCAAAACACATTTAACAACCAAAATTTTAACAGTGATAAAGAATAAAGGACCTTTCCAGGGTGACTGTAATTTTGATTAACGTGTAACATGTGTCAAAGCTCTGCCAATTATGCCAGAAGGATCTGTGCATTTCACAGTAAACCAATTTTGCTTCCAAAACTAGTATTTCAAAGCCAGCCAGGCACAGTGACACATGCATGTAATCCCAGCTACTCAGGAGGCTGAGGCAACGGGATTGAGACTTCTGGGAGCAGTCTCAAAAATTTAGCAAGATCTTGTCTCAAAATAAACTTCAAAAATAAAAGGGCTGGAAGTGCCCGTGAGTAGCAATGGGGACAAAACAGACAAGACAGACAGACAGACAGACAGACAAAAAGGCAAAGGGGGGAAAGGAACAAAATGAAACAGTACTTAACTCTAATTCATGTTAAGCATAATAAATATTTGGGGAGGAAATATAGTGATAGCTGGAACTTATTTTGAAATGTAGTTTTTAAAAACAAGGATCAATGCATGGCAAAAAGGATGGATGGAAAAAGTGCACAGAAATTACAGTAGAGATTGTCTGTTTTAATATCATTCACCTCACGGGTCTTCCAGTTCTTCCATGTGCAGGAAAACTTTTAGCATAACATACTGAGAGCTGGTTAAGTAAATAAAACTGTAAACCAAAGGTGTAAAAAGACTACTAAACATCTGATGAGGGATGCAATCATGTGCTGCAAAGAGGTACCAATTACAATAAAAAGGGGGAAAAAAGCATAATTTAGGTAAACTTTAAAATGAGTAATTGGGGCCGGGAGATAGCTCAGTAGAATAAGTGCTTGCCTGGCAAGTGCAAAGGCCCGAGTTCAATCCTCGGTTCTGCAAATAAATAAATAAAATGAGTAATTGTTTTTACTTCCCTCGGATTTAGAGGATTGAATTTATAATTTACTTTTCTCGATTAAGAATAAAATTGCAGCTAGATTTTAAAACCTACTAAGTAAACGTTTCGATATGTTTTTTGCTAAAAGAAAACAAGACGCGGGAACAGTAAGCACGACAGCGCCGCGACGCGGGAACCGGCGAGACACCCAGGGGTCCCCG